ATCAAATGAAATAATAAATGTATAAAAATTTTTCTTTGCGTAAAAATTACCTTTGAATAAACGAATTTTATAAGTGTATTAAAATTTTTTCAATATATTTTTCAAGTTCTCGAGATGTGGCGAAATACGCAAAAAGTAAAATGAACATTAAGGAGTCCAAACTTTGGACCGCTCTCCTGACCAAACTATGGGGACTCTTATTTCCCAGATTGCAGATAGCTCCTATATTTCGGCGGTCAGAAACCCGAATCCGTTGAAAAAGGGGCATGTTTATTCAGAAAAAATACGTTTTTGTGTCTGATTTCGTAACTTAAAATATCGTCTGTACTAATTCATTAGTATATTTGAGGTCACCCCTTCGAACCATTAAGAATAAGTCCTAGAACGTGAAGATCCAATCATTAAATCAAAAATTATTAAGGGTGGCCCGTTTCTTATTTTGCGCAATGTACATAAAAATTAAGCAATCGAGAGAAAGAGAGCAGTAGGATAAAATCTGAAAATAAAAGTAATGCGAAAAGAGATTGTTAATTTGTTTATATGTAAAAATAAATTTAGGAACAAGAAGAAAAAATAATCAGTATTTAAGACGAAAATCTGAATTGGGATGAGGGCACCGCAGAGAGAGAACCTTTCTGGTGCAGCGAACTTCAAAAATATTGCAATTCACTAAAAATGTAACACTATTATATAACACTATATCCGCACTTTTAAACGTCCACCGTTTTTTAATACGAGGGTTGCTATTTATATTTCTGGCCTTGGCAAAGTGTTGCTAGGCGCCCGCAGACGATTTTAATCGAAAGTTTGATATTTTTAAACATAAATTCAGCAGACGATTTACCATTATAGCTTCATTTGTGTTGTTGACAGTAAATTGAAAAGTTCTTCTCTTTCAAAAAATGGAATTGAATCGTGAACATTTTCGTGCCATTATTTTTCATAACTTTCGACGTGGATTGTCAAGACAAGAGTGCTTCGATGAACTTAATTCTTTATTCAGCGATAAAGCGCCATCCTACAGCACTGTAAAAAATTGGTATAACGAATTTAATCGTGGTCGATGTTCGATCCAGGACGAATCCCGTGCAGGTCGTCCAAAATCCGTTGTTGTGCCAGAAAAGATCGATGCTGTGCGTGAACTGATAAAGCAAGATCGTCATGTGACATACCGTGAGATAGAGGCGTCTTTGGACATTAGTATGACTAGCATCAATAAAATATTGCATGAACATTTGAGCGTAAAAAAAATTTGTTCGCGTTGGATCCCGCATAATCTGACAAACGCTCAAAAAAAGGCTCGTGTCGATTGGTGCAAGGAAATGTTGGAAAAATACGTTCAAGGTACATCAAAGGCTGTGTATAACATCTACACAGGTGACGAATCATGGATCTATGCATATGAGCCGGAAACAAAACAGCAATCAACTGTATGGGTCTTCCAAGACGAGGCAAAACCAACAAAAGTTGTTCGAGGAAGAAGCACATCGAAACAAATGATTGCCTGTTTCTTCGGCATTAACGGTCATGTGGCAACAGTGGCGTTAGAGCAACGCAGGACGGTCAATTCTGAATGGTACACGACCATTTGTTTGCCAGAATTCATCGGAGAAATTCGAAAACTGCAGAGGAACAGGTGAATCATTCTTCATCATGACAATGCGAGCTCTCACACATCGACTCAAACAAAGGCATTTCTGACGGAGCGAAAGATCGAACTGATGGGTCATCCGCCGTACAGCCCTGATTTGGCACCCAATAACTGCTTCTTATTCCCACACATCGAAAATAAATTACGTGGACAACGATTTTCGACCCCCGAAGAAGCGGTTGATGCATTCAAAACGCATGTTTTGGAGTTACCTCAATCGGACTGGAAAAAGTGCTTTTCAAATTGGCTCAAACGCATGCAAAAGCGTCATCATCATCATCACCAGCCATGATCATCATGGAGAATATTTTGAAAAACAATAAAACCAATTTCGATCCTTTATATTTGTTTTTTCATTATTAGGCCAGAAATATAAATAGCAACCCTCGCAGCCACTAATCTTTAAACAACATTCAAGTAAATCTCTTTACTTAAAAAAGTTCACTATCTGTCTAAAATTTGTTGAGCCAGAAAGGGTCCATATTTTGCAAGTCTCTGTACATAATTCTACAGTCATTGCCCCTCTCTTTTTAGTCAACATGTAAAAATCGTGATGTAATTACCCTGTTAACTGCATACTTTAAATTCTTCAACATCGCGAAAATTTTCAGGGTTTGGAATATACGAATTATTCAGGGCTTGTAGAAAGTGTGAAAAAAATTCTAGAAAGAGCGTTTCCCCACAGTTAAATTTATCACTAAAGCCTGACTGATTAATTATTCTTGTTCGTTTTCCTTACCTTCGCATGACTAAGCGTTGAAAATTAAAGACAACGGAAAGCTTTATCTCCGCAACTTCACGTAAAAAAGAATAAAAAAGTTCTAGATTAAAAAAAAAAAAAAAATTCTTCTGATAATCATGTGTGATTAAAACGAGATCATTTCTATTCAATTTGTCGGAATTTTTTTTAAAAAAATCATGCTACATCCATTGTATAGAAAATTTTGCTATCTGAGAACAAAATAATCATAATGAAGAAAATTAATAATTTGTTATTCACTCCCAATGATTCACACAGGGTTGTAGCAAAAGTTAATTTTGGAGGGGGGTGGAGGTCGTTGCTTTAAATTGTAAATTTTTAATGATCTGAAAATAAAAACCTTTCCCTTAAAATTCAAGCAGTAAATGACTATCTCCCATTTTTTTTTTGTAAAAATTATAGTAATTATTGACACGTTTTTTTTTTAAAAGTCGAAACTAATTAACATATTCATTATTATTATATTTTTTTTAAGGTACTGAATAAAACTTAGTTCGAATAAATGTAATTATATACTTTAAACATTAACAAATTTATTTTTGAGAAATTTATTTCTTCTTTTAAACATCTATTTTTTTGAGTAGGACATTCTACAGATTCTATTTTTAAGCTACATAAGTTGTAGACGTTCAGTTGAATTAAATTTTAAATTTCAGAACAAATTGAAAAACGGACCCTGTTTGAACGACCTTATCTCAAGCAGGTCCTTTTTTTTAAATCTGAAAATTTGTCAAGTTTTTTTTTTTTTTTTTTTTTTTTTTTTTTTTTTAGTACATAATAAATTGGCGATAGTAGGATATTGTGTTTTTGATTCGATCATTCTATGCATTTATTTATTTATTTTTGGAAAAAGTTGCGTTACAAGTTTTGGAGCATTGCACTATAGTATAAGAAAATTGAAATTCTTTATAATGAAATAATCGTAAGAATAATTTAGAATATAATGTCTTTTTAAATATTAATTCATGCAAGTATTCAAACAAATATATTTTATTAAATCGTTCTAGGAATTAATTAATACCATCGATTCTTGTTAGTGATTATCATCAATGAAAGCCGACTGAAAAAAATTCATTTGATTCATCTTTCACTATTTTGTTACTGAGCGGAACATTCAATTAGTAATTAATGCACTAATAATATATGTAGCTAATGTACTAATAAAAATGTGGTTTCAAAATTCTTATACTCCAAAGTATGAAAGCTATTTAGTGAGATTTGCCTGAAGAACGGTTAGATTACCATAACGTCTTATTTAAACTTCTTTAATAATTTCCATTTTTACAACTCATACACTCTTTAAGTTCTAAATTATTTTTCGTAAATGGTTTATTGATAGTTAAAGGAGGGGAGAGGAATCAATCAAAGTAAAAGAAGCTTCTTATGCCGGCGGTTATAGATAGAAGCCCATAATTCTGTCCGATCGATGTTAGGCAAGGATATTACTTTTTTGAGGAGTTTTGAATTATGGGCTTACCATCATTAAAGATAATAACACAGCGGTTAGCGTAAATATGACGGTCGTAAATAGCTTGAGGTCGATGAACATTCATCAACTATCTCAAATTACGACGGTCTTGATCACGTGCATCATTGCCCTTCTTATTTTCTTGGGATTATTGTTTGTTAAAAAACTTTTTTTTTTTTAAGTCACTCAATTTCTATTACTATTCTCAATTTGTATGAAGAAAAACTACTTTGACTACTAGTAGGATTTGTGATGGGCCCGTACTTCAGAAGGTTTTGAATTTATTCCAATCTTTTGTTTGTTATTTTATTTTGTTATTTGTCAAATTTATTCGAGAAAAATTTGCTTGTTTATTTTTTTTATTTAATTAACGAAAAATTAAATTTCTATTTTTGAATCAATTTTTTTGCATTAACAGTTAAAAATAGTGCTCTAGAATCTAATTTATTTCAATCTTTTGTTTGTTATTTTGTTTTGTTATTTGATAAATTTATTCGAGAAAAGTTTGCTTGTTTATTATTTTTTTTTAAATAATTGACAAAAAATTAAATTCCTGCTTTTAAATTAATTTTTTTTTGCATTAAAAGTTAAAAATAGTGCTCTGCGATCTACTTTAATATGATTAAAACTTACAACAAACATGGATATGTGTTAAATCGAACCTTGTCTGTTTCTGTTTAAGTTACGCCAAATTATTAAAGTATACCCTAAAAACTTCGAAATTTGTGCGGAGTTTATGCTAGTATAGCAATAATTTTAAAATTGTATTGTTTTGGTAAGTTATTTTTAATTTTAAATCGTTTATGTTAATGAAATATTTTTAAGAAAGAAAAGCAATTTGTAAAAACACATATTGCGGACCCCACTGAAGTCCTGATGCAAAACTGTAAATTATAAATACGCTAGTGTTTACAATCTGCTCATTCTAATCATTCTCCCATAAAGCTTAACCCTTTCGTTACGAGCGACGTATTTAGCATTTAATTTAGTAGTCTCTGAGTGCTTATTATTTAGATTTTTTAAAAATCTATTCGAAGTTTGCTGTTGTATAAACTGAAATATTATCATTTACATGAAAAACATAGAATTCCATCATTTAGAGATTCCTTATTATTTTGCAGACATTTAATCTTGGACGCCATTCTGAGATGTCACGTCAGCGCATGACCTCAGCAACCGGTCAGTTCCAGAACGTTGAAACTTCGAGTCCGACCTACAAGCGACCAGCACCTCAGAACGAGAATCGCATCACCCCTCCTTCGACGACGCCCTTAAACCGTCGTCAGAATGTAAGCCTTCAAAAGCCGCCTTTTAATCGAAACTCTCAACGCAAGCAATCTCCTTTCCGAACGTCATCTGGCGTCACTCCTAACCGAGGACAGGATGGCAAGTTGGAACGGTCTGTTTCCAACGCTGGTGAAACTCCCAAACAGACGAGACAAACACGATCACCTGAGAGATCAGGTAAAATTTCTTCGCATCACACCACGTGTTTTTCTCACAGTGGGAAACATGCCAGAGCCTCGTCAACAGCGGGCCTCGGTGTTTCTTCTTCGAACAGAAGCAAAAGTTCTCGCCGAACCATCGTGAGAGTATCGTCTGCAGATCTTTCTGATGGTAGCGTGGAATCTCTTAACACCCTGACGAAAAAGGGGAGGAATACGTGGACCATGAGTTCGAAAGTACCGTGTAGTGTTCGTGTGACTCAAAACTCACCTTCCAGGTCAGTGTCTGAACCCCACGATGTGTCCAGTGTCGGATCTCGAGATTCGACGCCTCCCACGTCGCCGCCGGCCAGCGTGTCCACTGATGTTGTGTTGGAAAAGAGTCCATCTCCATGCCGCGAGGAAAAGACTTTCAAGAAAGTGTCACCGCGGTACAACATTCGACTGATGTTAACTAATCCTCGCGACGCGTCCAAATCGACTTTGAGTCCACCTTATCTCGTGCAAGGTGAAATCTGTGATAAAGAATTAGATGCCGTAACAACTCTAGAGTCCGTTCCTATCGAATCTGATAAAGATAAATCTGTGATTCAGTCGGTGACTGGCGAGAGTATGAGGTCTCCGTCGGCCAAGACTGCTGTCAGTGGACTGAATGGTGAGGAGGATGCTCACGTAGAGGATGAGTTATCGGACGTTGCCATAAGAAGTGTGCCGATTGAAAGTGTGAAAATTAGTGAATTGCGGGAAAAAGACGAAGCCGAAAAGGCACAGGCCATATCTCCCGATGGCCGTTTTCTTAAGTTTGAGGAGGAAGTCGGTAGGGGTTCCTTTAAGACTGTCTATAAAGGATTGGATACTCTGACAGGTGTCGCTGTGGCGTGGTGCGAATTACAGGTAAGCCTATATTTTTAGAACTTCTCTTCAATTTATGCTGACTTAACATTCTTTTTTTTTTTTTATGCCTTCTACGCAATTTTTTTTTCGTCCGAAAGCTTCGAAATACTTTTGCTTCGTGCGTACGTTCTGTGTTGCAGAATCCCATAACGTTACTGAGTTCCTGCAGAACGATATTTTTTTTTATCTGCAGAGTTTTTCCCCTTTCTGCAGAATTATATTCAAAATAGGCCTTTCTCTTATATTGGAGGTGGAAAAAAACGGTAGTGATTTTTATCCTTCTTTCTTTTGATAATAAAAAAATTCCGCAATGATTTAGCTAGAATTTCAGATTGATATTATAAACAGTTATGTCCAAATAGCAAAAAGTTAAAAAAGATTAACTATACAAATATTTTTTAGAACAGGAGAATATCGCCAATAATATTAGAATATATAATATTCTTTTATATTAAGATTTAAAAAAAATTCTTACATTTATAATTAAAAAATATATACTGTTCTGTTCTATACATGAAGACTTTATTTTTTATTTTTTTTTGTAACCAGAAAGCGCTTCTGTTCCTTTAAATTAGTAACATATATATTTGCTATTATTAAAAATATCGCTCAGAAAGGTATTAGTACAAGAGAGAATTGTCGCAGAAAGCTTGAAAAAATTCTGCCACAGGGTGCTTACGTTACGATATAAATATTGTATGGGAACTTCCTATAGAGAGATGACTGTATATATGTATATATATATATATTTTTGTGTACTCTTTCTTTACTGCTTTTCAAATGTATCTTAATTGTTGCTGAATTTATGAGTTTTAGTTTTTAATTATCGTTGATAAACAGCATTTTCAACTAATTTTATTATCAAATACTACTATTGAAATCGAATGTTGAATGAAATACTCACGTGAACTGATCTTGATTCTCTGGGATCTTGTTTTTTCATATGAATGCCGATTTCCTAGTTAAGGACAGAAGTTTTTAACCTACCTACAAAGCGCTTGGAAATGCATTCTGCCCTGATTTGCCTCTCTCAGATACTACGATTTTGATAGTTTGTTTTCCCCCTCCATCTTATTTCGTTGTTTCGCTACATTGTTTTCGTTGGCAGATTTGTTTTTTTTTTCTGGTCTGTTTTGTTTTTATTCTAATTGTTTCTGTATTTATTGTCTGGGAAGTTTTTATTAGGGTCACCGCTTCAAAATTCCGTCATGTTAATAATCAAGTGTGGTGCATTTCAAGAACAACTCCATCAAAAAGTGAAATGGATAAAAAATTATTATTTATAGATGTATATAAAGTGGTATTTTTTGTAACTTGCGATTGTGACAAACTTAATTATAACTTATGAAAAAAATTTCCTAACGCATCTGTGTTACGCCCATTAATAAATTGATCCTCTCAGTTGCTACAACCCACTCTGCGATCTACTATGTGATATTACTATTCTTGATTTTATTCTTATGTAATGCATTTATATTACGCACATTACTAAATTGGTTCAATCAAGTGTTACATTCTAAGTGATCTGAATATCAATACTTTATTGTGACGCAATACTTTATTTTTCACCGTAAATTCACTTTATGTGCATTTTATAATCGTTTTATTTTTTTTTCATTATGAAAATATTATGAATATTTTATAATATTCTGAAAATTACTTTTATTTCATGCTTGTTTCTGAAAACTTTTCGATTTTTTTTTCTTTTTCTTCCTGTTTCTGCTGCGGTGTTTCCAAAAATAAACGGAATTGCTTTTGGTTTCAAAACCAAATATCTCATATAACAACGTCCAATAATTATTTGTTCTTATTTTGAATATGATAGTGATCGTTAGGCAAATATTGCAACCTTATTCTTATCGTGAATCTTTGTTTTTTTAAGATAACAACTAAAGCTTTTTTTTTTCTCTAGTACTGAAAAACAAAACTAAAATAATAGAATTTTTTTTTGGCCCCACCTTTATAGTAAATGCCTTTTTAGTATGGAAAATGTTAAATTTAGTGAGAGGCCAGGAACGGTTCATTGCCCTGATAAATTAAATTCCCTAACTGAACTTATTTCTAAATGCTTTTTTATAGCATTTACCATTATCATGAACAATGGATCAGGGGATAGAGCGTTTGCTTTCCAATGAGGTGAACCGGGTTCGAATCCTAGCAATGGCTGGTCGATACGAATTCCGCATCCGGTTTGTACTGACCACAGTGCTGACGTACAATATCCTAAGTGGTGGACGGATCATGGGTTAGAGTCTCCTTGCCATCGGGCTAACCGTAGGAGGTTTTCGCGGTCTTTCTCTTCATGTAACGCAAATGCGGGCTCGTTTAATCTAAAAGTGAAGACAAATTCTCCAAATGCTTGATCCAGGAATTGGGTTCAAAATTACAAGGTACGGAGTTGAATATTAGTAGCCATAAAATCCAAAATTGGGTCGGCTGTTCAACGTCGGTTATAATATTTAAAAAAAAAAAACTTTCTTCAGGTTGTTTCTTGTTTTAGTACGTAGCACTAAGTATCCATCTTTTGGATACGCAAGACGCGTTTTTAAAAATTCAGCTCATCAAAATAAAGATTAACTAAACTCAGTAGGCATGCTCTCGGCCTACTCCTTCTTCTTCTCATTGGCACGACTGCCCAGGATGGGCCTTGGCCTTCTCAACAAGCCTATGCCAAGACATTCTTCCCTTAGCCAAGGTTCTCCAGTTTATTATCCTTAAAACTTGTTGGTCCTTTTCAAGGCAGTCTAAAAATCTTAGGTTTGGTCGTTCTCTTTTTCTTGTACCTGTTGGCCTGGCACTGAGACTTTTTTGGTTGTCCTGCTATCCTCCATTCTTATAATGTGGCCTGCGCATTTAATCCTTTGAATTTTGATAAATTTAATGACATCAGGTTCTTTATATGCTTTGTAATGTTCCGTGTTTGATCTTCTAAACCAGGTACCGTTTTTACTTATTCCACCAAAAATGCTTCGCAGTATTTTTCTCTCAAATCTAGCTATCAAATTTTCATCTCCACGGGTCATTGTCCAGGTCTCACATGCGTATGTAAGCACTGATCGTATAAGACATTTATAGAGTAACACTTTTGCTTTTCTTTTTATTAGGCTTGACTTAAGATATTTTCTTAGACCATAAAAACACTTATTGACCATTGTGATTCTCGTGTGTATTTCTTGTGTAATGTCGTTTTTGTTGTTAATCTTAGACCCCAAGTAGGTGAAGCTATCAACGGCTTCGAATTTGTATGCTCCAATTTCAAACTATGTTTCTTCATAGCCAGCTTTTGTGCAAGGCATATATTAAGTTTTATTTTCATTGATTCTTAATTCCATCTTAATGGCTTCCTTCTCCAGACATAAAAAGGATTGTGTTAGTGCTGTCTGCGTTCTAGCGATAATATCTAAATCATTAGCAAAAGCCAATATATTTGAACTGATTCGTTGATGATATTTCCTCGGTTGTTGATGTTTGAGTCCCTTACTATTTTTTCTAATGCTAGATTAAAGAGGAGACATGCCAAGGCATCTCCCTGTCGTACACCATTTTTAATTTCTATTGGATGGGAAAGACTACACTGTATCTTGACCATGGTATATGACTCCGGTATATTAAATTCTCTTAAGGCTGATAATAGAGTTTTTCGGCTAATACTATCATAGGCTGTTTTAAAATCAATAAACAGAAGGTGCGTGTCAATACCAAATTCTATTGTCTTCTCCAAAATTTGCCGGATGTTAAAAATTTGCTCTGAGGTGGATCGCCCCTTCCTGAATCCCGTCTGTTATATTCTCGGCCTACTCCATGAAACTAAAATATTTGCTTCCTTTAATATTTTTCGCCTAACTTGTAGGCTTCAGCGATTTGAAGCATCTTCACAACTTTTTTTCTTTTCCTTATAGCTGCTTATGCATTTACCTCGTGTAACAAATTCCCACTTTGCTTTCAGGTGTTGCATATACTGTCAGAGTCTGACTAAGGGTGGGCATAGGGGCAGTTGCCCCGGGCCCCCGCATTAGAGGGGGCCCGCAAATTGAATAGAAAGTTTATTTTACGTTATATTCTTTAATGAACTTTTTTTAAACAAAATAAAAGTAATGTGTAATATCCTTCAGTTTTAAGTTAGCTTCTTCATTAATCTATCGTATGAACACAATCTACATTTCGTATGGTTTCTACATTTCGTTTCAAGGAACCATGGCTTTCTAAGGCGGAATTCAGATAAATTTTCGCAATTACGGTGGACAAATTTGGCCAATCAAAAGCCTGTATTTTTATATATTGCAAATTGCAATCTGTTTACAAAAACACGGTCTTCTGATTGGATTCATTGAGCCATCGTAATTGCGTAAATGTAGGCCCAATGTAAGCAAGGATATGAATTTTTCGCTGTTAGATTAGAAAACTGCATTCGGCATGATGGACACAGAATTATCTGAGAACTAATGAAATGGATTGAATGATATTTCGTCTGACCATTTGAAGGGGAGGGACTTCATAGCTATTTTAGATTCTTGTCAATTTTCTTGTTATCTATAATGAGGTGAAAAATTTAAATAGGTTAAACTAACCAGTGAAGGAACACTTAAGCTTCGCTTGCCTTTTAAAAATTCATATTAATTTCAGAATTCCTAATTTTAGTTAAATGACAGTGTCAACATATTTGCTACTAATTGCAAATTATGTAAAAAAATTGTAGAGAACTTACATAATATTGTTTTAAAGTTTTGGAGGTTCAAATAACAAGTAGTAAGAAGACCAAGTGAAGGAACAGCTCTTACCAGTGAATGAACACCCAGTAAAGGAACACTTAATTTTGGTTATTTTTTAATGCTCTTTATGAATTTATAAGCCATACAAATATTTAAAAACAAGCCTATTCTTGAAATTATAACATATAAATACTTGGAAAATGTTAACTTTTTTTTGTAATCATGAATTGAAAATTAAAGTGTCAACATATTAACACATACTGTTCATTCACTGGGAAATCTATGCCCAGT